TTCGTGAACAATGAGCCAAATTGACAGCCCTACCTCTAATTAAGACAACAGAGTGGCAAACTGCTTCATGTTGGTCTACTCAGGATCAATCAATTGTGCCTTCACCGTGAGACATGCATCAAAGGAAACTTCATCCTTCAACTTTCAAAGAAGAAGAGTCACTTGAATAAGATGAGAGGAGAGCTTGATAAAGTCTTCATTATCGCCATCTTCTCCCTCGAGGCTCGGTTCTCTCCCTGGGTAGCCGATAACAACTATGACTATTTGGGTATCTAGGCTTTAGCCGCCTTCTCCCTCTCCTCACAGGCTGCCAACTTCCATTCAATCTTCCGTTGTACTTCATGTTCCTCAAGGACCATCGATTGGAGATGAAATGTTTCCTAGGCCATCAACTGTTATTTGTTGGTAATGCAACACTGGGCGAGCAAGCTTTAATCCACAAGGATCTCTTTGTAGGTGGGAGACCAGATGACAATGGCCAACGACAATGAGTAGTGATACTCTGTTGAGGAATCAAAACACCAATCATTTCTAAAATTAGTCAACACAATCCTACCGTATGAGCTGGTGCTTACCTTTGCCTTCCCATCCTACATTGAAATCCACTTAAATAAGGATCCCTTTCATTTCTTCCAAGACAGAAAAAGGGGCGGGTTGCTTGAACTAGTCACACGAGCTTAACCTCACAACATCTCTTTTCATGATTGTTGGGCTCGGGCTCCTCTTGAGTAAATCCAGCCAAACTGTCTAGAGAATGGCGACTCACTTCGTTACTGACAAGAAGGTCAATGAAGGAAGGAGCAAAAAATCGTGGAGAGGCAAGTGCTACTTCTTATTTTTCTACCCATGCCTCCCCTTATGCAGGCTCGACTTTGTATGGCTCAACATCCTTTTAGCCTCTTGATGTTGTGTGCTCAATAGATCTGCAACCGACAGGGCATTCTTAGAGGGCACCAAAGATGGTTTCCCCTCAATAAAGATTGGGTCGTCAATGGCAATACTTTGAAAATAATAGATAAGTCATACGTGAAATAAACTACTTTCACACATTCTGATTTGCCACCTTGAGTTTTAATCAACCTTCAACTCTAGACATCTCACGATAGTAGTATAAATGTGAGCAATCAGACGAGCCATTTATTGGTTATTCGAGCAAAAACCATTGCCTTCACCTTAATCTTTTGGGAATCAAAAGCTTTACAATCATTCTTAGTCATCCCGCCAAATGTCTCTGATTGTGGTACCCAATTAACAGTTTTTGGGTCAAGATATTGACAGACCAAAAGCTTTTGTCCCTCGACACTCCTAGCTTCCACCAACACTTTTTCCGACCCTTTCTTCTTTGACTTTATCAGAGCAACACCAAACAAGACACTATGGATATACCATGCTAGTACATGACCACTATATTTTGAAAAAAATGGACCTTCTAGGCTTGTTAGAGTCTCAATAAACAGTTTTTTATACAATTTAATAATGTGAAAATATAATATTTATATATTTAAATCCTACATAGCCTTGAAAGTACCAATTTCTATAAACCAATGAATCTGGACACAACATATAAGTAATAAATATTTTATAACATTTGTTAATTTTTGCTCTATTGATTCATAATCATTTTACTAGATTTTTAAATTGAATAACATATTCTTGATTTTGATATGCAACATAAATTTTAGTTGGATGTCTAATTTCATTATTATTAACTTTTTTATTTTTAAATATGCTAATAAATGCATAAGATACTCATTGAGGCTTGTTTGGTAACAAATATTTAGGATCAATGTACTTCATAATTTAGTGTAAAACAAATGTAAAGTTTTTTTTTTTCACAATATGTTTGATTGATTATAAAGTTTAACCATGAAAATCACTTATTTGGAGATGAGAAAAGCAATAACATCATAAAATATATATTTTAATCTTTAAATCTATACAAAAAATAGTTAAACAAAATAAAAGAAAGGATATGGCTTTTAAGGGGGTGTTTGGCTTCAAGCAGGATTTAACATTAGTAGGATTCAGTAAATCCATATATCATAAATCCATTAAATCCACCTCTTAGCTGGATTTAGTGAATCTAAATTTAAGTTGAATCAAAGGCAAAATCCAGACATTAAATCCAAAATTTCATAAATCTAGGAAAGTTGCACTTTTTTTTTTTTTGGATTTCATAAATCCGATGATAAATCTTGTGAGTGGGCGCTATCAAACACCCCCTAAGAGTCCAGATGATTTTTGTGCAAGTTGACGCATTGGTAATATTTACAATAATAGGGAATACAAAATTGATACATAATGGTGGTTGGTGAGACGCATCAGCTTTGATATAGCATCAATGTAGGACACGACGTCTCATAAGAAGCATGAGAAGAGAGGAACTCATAAAGTCTGAATGGAGACTTACACAAGTTTTTTTGTGAAGAGTTTCATTTGCTTCACGTATCCAAATTTGTGATGCATAAAACAATGAGCCTCTGGAGGTATTGCAAACTAGAAACTTTTATCTTGCATGAGTTACATTTTCTTACTAAAAAAAACTTTTACTTTGCATGAGCTATCAGAATATAATACCATCGAAATTCAATATGATAAAAAATGTGTGCATTTCTAAAAATAAAATATATATTTTTTAACATCTTTGTAATAGTGTATGTTTTACAAATTACTTTCATCAAAATGTTTCAGACACAATTCAATATTTATTGACAATTTTTACATAATTTTTGGAGTTTTATTTTTTGAAATATAAGATGATTTATATATTTTTTAATTAAAACATAATAATTCAAATAATTACCTCTTATATCCTCCAATTAAGCCAAGGATTCAATCCATGTTTTTTCATTTCCAAACTGCCAATGTTTTTATGTTGGGTCAATATAAATATTCATTCGACTCTAAGTAGGATATTTCAGATTTTAATTTTATTGTTATTTTCTTATGTTTGAATATTTTGTTTAGCTAAATTTCAGATAGACTTAGACAGACAAAGATTTAAGAATTATTACTGTATAATTCTTGATATATTGTAGAATGGAATGTATTTGTCATATTAAAATAAAAAATTTAAAATTTTACTAAATATTGTATAGAAGTTGTACAAACTTGTTGAAATCAGAGCCCTAATGACCATGAATTTTATTTTGGAATAATTTTTTTTATTCAAAATTCATCAGCATTCATACTCGATTAAAATTCCTTAATGAAAATATCACTTGTTTCCTATTTTTTACATCAATATTTATTTCATATGAAAATATAAGTTTATTATTTTTTTTTTCATCCAAAATTTAGACATCTTAGAACTTTGTATGTTAATTGAAATGAAAATCGTTGACATTTTAGATTATCTGAATTTACTCATTGAGCATGAAATATCAAAAAATGATAAACTAGACACTTCTAAAAAAAATAATCATGCTTTCATTGTCATTGTTGGCAACTGTTGCGCACATTTGGGAGCATATGCATTTGTGCTCAGGTGCACATGTACTTGCGTGCGAGCAAATGAGCGTAACATTGTGCTCATGAGTGTAGCAGCATGCATGTAGGAGCTTGAGCGGTGGCATAATGATGTGCACGGAGGCCTGTTGGTGCAATGGCGAGCACCCCGTTGAGAAAAAAAAAAATGCTTTGTTGATGTGTGGTTAACATGACTTTATAATTGGTTGAAACCTTTTTAATTGATGTTAATGCTATGAGTTGCATTCTCTGTGAAAAGAAAAGTTTGCTTTGTTGATGAGAATTTGGATATTGATGGATTTTAATTGATATTTACTTTTGATAATATTCCTATGAAGCTTATGAATAAGCTTGTATTATAAGTTATTTTGCCTGTCCTCGTTCATAGCCAACCAAATAAGATCAACCATTTCCACATCTCAACTCTACGATCAACCATACAAGCAACATCAACAAAAAAAAAAGAGAATCTTCATTAAATATTTTGAGGGCAAAATCTTATAACCGAAACACGAAGATAAGCAATGGCCAGCTGAGCTCAAGGTAGAATCATGAGGTGGGTTCGAGGAGGATTTCTCAGGTTGGGTGTAAGATATTTACTTGCCATAATCAAGACACACTCTTGAGTTAACTATATCAATACATCCACTAAGCTCATGAAGTACTTGCTTGAAGGCAACTTTAAACCAGTCAAAATGACTCAGCTTAGGTAGTCTCACAAGCCCAAAGAATCATCGGATGATTACCATAAAAACTAGTAACTCCCAAGTTTGATATATGTTTATCAATCCGATTTTGAGTTCCTAGATCGGATATATGCCTCATTATTTGGCTTTGAAGAATCTAGCATGCCTAACCTATTTTGTATTATTCTTGTATCACTCGAACCCAAATACCTGCCTATAAAAGAGGATATTAGGGAGATACAAGTTTTTTAGACTATTTGCCCACTCATTCATGGTGAATGATGTATTTTCTTGTGTGATCTTTTTCTCTATACTAACCTTTTAACTCTCTTCTTCTTTCTCTATTTCAATGAGATTTTGACATAATTGATAGAAAGATAAATAAGATCCAACACATATATATATCTTATCCTATCATCTAAAAAAATATGAATATTGAATTTTTGCAACTAAACACCCCCATCTTAATTTAATTTTTCTTTTGACATGCCCTATAAAATGTTAACAAACAAATAAATCTAATAAATGTAGTTTTATAAATATTATTCATATTCTATGTCAAATAAATCAAAATTATCATCCAATAAGTATTTTGCCAAACCCAACCTTATGAATTTTACATAAATATTTTTGAAGTCATAAGTATTTATTTATCTATCAATTAAATTTTTATATTTACATACATAGTATTCTAGTTGAAATGATATTAAAATATGTGCTCGAAAATATATTAGTTAGTTTTGATGAGTTAATTTTAATGATATTTCTGATATTATTTTAAAATTAAAATTTTACACAAATAAACATACAAATTACAAATTAATTGGTATGGAAATGTGGCTGAAATCAAATCAATTTTTGGTCTTCCCTGACCTAACTCTCCGAGAGCGTCACTTCGTCGCCCAACTCTCGTCGGGAAGATGAACGCCGGCGGCGCGGCAAAGCTCATCGTGGAAGCTCTGCTCCAGCGATTTCTTCCGCTCGCTCGCCGCCGCATTGAGACCGCTCAGGCGCAGGTAAATCTCCTGCACCGTGATTAACTCATTATGCTCGGCGAACCACTCTATTGGGGTGCGCCACCTTCTCCGCGTACTGTTGCCTTTGTAGATCACGGGCAATGTCTCCTCATCCGCAGGAGGAAAAGCTAATCTACTTTTTTCTGCGCCTTCTCTTTCATACCGATCGGCAGCTATATGATGATTTATTGATTTTTTTGTGGGTTGGACGTCTTGAGTTTATGAAAGCATCCGAAAATTATGTTGTGCCGTATCTTAGAATCTCGTAGCATGCGAGATAATTTTCAAATAGAAAAAATAAGTCTTGATAAACATTTGCTGTAAATGGAGATATAAATAATACAAGACAACAAAATCTTACATGAAGAGTTTGGGAAAGGAAAAATCACGTGTCTTTGTCGAGTTAGAATTATTCACTATGTATTTGACGTTTCAAATTTCTACTCTTATCTCTAGTCGGAGAAGACGTGGTCATGTTACAACATAGGCTGATAAATAACAGTGATCATGTTACAGTGATTAGACAATACAACCCGAAGATTATAGATGAGCTATGAGCTATAATAATCATATGATTGTAATTGCACTACAACAACCATGAGTGACAGTTTGTGGCAATTGTTGATGGTCGTTGGTATCAGGACTAAACTCTTAGCTTCCTCCCTTTACATGCTTCAATTTTTGTTTTGTGAATTTCAACTTGTTCTCTTAATAGAGTTTAAATACTATCATGTTTAGGTGTAACATAGTTCCCCTTTTCGTGCCTTACTGTTTCTTCATCAAGAGCACGAGTTTGTTTCTTATGAACGGAAATTTGAGATTTTTTTTTTCTTTTTTTGAGCTCCAATTCCTTGTCTTAAAAAAGATTAAATATTATTCTATTTAGGCGTAATATTTTTTCTCCCTGCAAGCTCCAATACGTCTTTATAAAGAGCATCAAGAATATATATGTTTTTTTGTTGTCAGTGAGTGAACTTCATTCATTCAAAATGTTAGTGCAAAATTAAACCTTGATTAAATTTTCTAAAAGATAACGGTTTGAAGAAATATTGTATAGTTTTGGGAATTGATGACATGATGTTGACAATGACTAGTGATGTTTTTTTATTGATGTTAGTAGAATTAATTTAAGGTTGACTTCAATGGAAAGGAGATTGCTTACCGAAGTTGAGGCAGAAGTTTTGATGATTTAAAGACTGCAAAAGTCAATGTAATATATGATAATACAAATGAAGATGCATGTTGACATTATGTAGATCCAATAATTTTATATACGAATGTGAAATAAGACTTCTATTTATCTATCTATCGAATGTTCGATCGATATTATGTTCAAAGAATTCTTATTCTTCTTATAAAAGTGATTCAGCTTTTTGGGAACTTGTCCCACATATAAAATTAAGTTATTTGTATGTGATTGAGGCGGGTGAATCCAATATGATGGAAAGATATTACCCCCAATAGGAACATAGTGACTTCAATTTCTTCATATTTTGTGCACTTAAAGTTGTTTGAATGGCTTGAATCACGTGGCTTCTTAGACTTTAATATTTAGAGATTTAAAGTTTTAAATAGATAAAAAAACCTTCAAAGGCTTATTTTTTTAGGTTTTTTTAATGACCCTATACATTTTGAGGCTTTGTTTCTATGAGGTTTTTGATTTTTTTTGTAAATTTTGAGGCTCTTTGCTTTTTGAGTTTTTTTAGTATACATATACATTTTGAAGCTTTTATCTTTTTGAGTTTTTTGAGTGCACTTATACTTTTTAAGGTATTTAGTGTTTTAAGATTTTTTTAGTGAGTAAAGATGATGTCAATCACCTGCCTTTCTAAATCACTAGTTTTCTATCAAAATTTTCTTATAGACAGACCCTCCAAGGATATGGGTGGAAAACTTGGTCGCACTTACTTTCATAGGGTTATTATAGATAGAACAATGTCCACCACTTAATGGCAGAACTAGGAAACTTTCAAAGTGTGGGCACAATATATTTTTTCGAACGCTTCTGCCTATAACTCTTCGCCGATACTGTGTAAATCATTATTTACAAAACTTTCAAGTGGGCGTTGTTGGTCGGTGGGAAGCTCGCTCGAACATTCCTGCATCTCTTCGCCGATACTGTGTAAATCATTATTTACTAAACTTTCAAGTGGGCGTTGTTGGTTGGTGGGAAGCTCGCTCGAACATTCCGGGTTGTTGTTGGAAGCTTGCCTGAACACTTTGCGATTAGATGGAAGCCGCAAGGGGGGTGGTTCTAAATATGGTGCCTGAATATGTAGGCGGGAAGGATCCGATTTTTCTTTAATTTAGCTCGAATACATGAACGGGAACACATTTGGGAAATAATGGGATTTCACCTGAATTTTCCATGAACGCCGTCAGGAACATATGAGTCAATGCTCGAATGAAATATTTTTTGCGCACCCCTCCAAATCCTCTTATTGATTCCTATTTATGCTTCTTCATGGTGTGCCATCTTAGAGTTTTAAGATGCAATGATGCACTTCAACAACATGCATCAACTTGATATACTATGAATTGCCTCAACAATGTGCTTTAGCTGAATAAGTGATATCAATCCTCAATGACATGCATTAATTTTATAGGCGATACCCGGAAATGTTGTTGGTGGGCATGAACATTAGTGACAATGGGTGCATCTTGTATGGCATTAGTGTATGAATTGTTGCAAGGAAGTGACGATGGTCAATGGACCATAGTCAAGTGACTGAGGTCGATAAATCATAATTAGATGGTATGTTTTAAGGGACAAATCAATAGAGGTTGAGTAGTTATAGACAAGTAATTATTTTCGGGTGTCTATGGACTAGCGACGAATGATGAGTGGTTGTAGTCAGACATCTAAAGTCGAACAATATAAGTTAAGGGATCATCCTCTAGTGATGAAGCTTCGGAAATTATAGATTTATGACGGTTATGAAGAGATTGCAACTAAGAACTAAAGGTTGAGTAGCTATAGTCAGGTGATTTTAGAAGTGTGATTCTCAGGTGATGCAACTTTCTAAAAATGATAGACATGCAACTTTGGCATTAGCTTAAATGCAATTGGAATCATTTGAGATGAACTGCAGTTGAGATAAATTTTTTATTTTTGCTATAAATTTTAAGGACCATTTAATGGAAGTTGAGGTGGAGTTTGGAGGCTATAAAAGACATAAAACATATTAGTGATACTGATGTAAACATTCTGATCTCATCTAAATTCAAATAGTTCAATTTATTGTTTTAAAATAAGTCTTCTTTTTTCCATAGTCCATGAATCTATGAGCTTGATAATTGTTTGCCGCTAGATAAGATGCAAATCAGCCAATAAATTTCAATGAGATGCTCAAAATTTTTTTCTTTCCCCTTTAAGTATGAAGAATCCTGAAAAGTGAAAAAAATTTGCAATAGATTTAGTATCAAGTACATAGGCATGTACAAACATAATACCTTAAAGTTTTGCAATACATAATTACAACAATAACAAGCCTTTATCCCATTAAGTGGATTGAAATACATAAATAAAGAAAAAAAAATGAAATATTACATATGAAATACTAGCATTTTTATTGACAACATGCATTGGAAAATTATCTAACTCCAGCTTTTGAAATTATACAAATAATTTTAATTTTGTTGCTTATTGATGAGAATTGAAGTTTATAATTAACTGACATTTTTGAATATGTGCTTATTTTAGAAGTTCCGGTCTTCTTAGAATCGTGACAACGTGTACATTCAATTGATTTTATTTCGTAAACCTAGCATAGGAGATGCAACACATGCCATTGAAGACCCATGCCCATTCATGGCTAGATTGAAGTTCATATTGAGCTCATATGACGACTAGATTCTAATCCATAAGCTCATATCATGCCGGAATAACTTATTTTTGTTTGCATCCCTAGATTATATTTAGTTAAGATGTGAAACTACCTCAAATTTTACTTGTTCGTAATCCTTCAAAAGAAATCTATGACTATTGCCTGTCAAATTTTATGATTTGGCCATTTTTAATTATAGCTCGATTAATCGATTTATCACTAGCATGACTCTTTTTACTAATGCATCAAGACATGACAAATATCAACAACTTCCTTATAGATAAAAACTTTTGATTCCATTAAAGAATTGATGTGTGCTGTCCCAATGTTTTTATTACTTGATTTCTCAAAATTTTTTTAAGATATATGACGACGCCTCAGGTGCCATCTTTAGTAGTGTCTTAATCCAAGCACATTAACATTAGATACATGACATGCTAAAATTGAATTTTTGTCATGCTAATTTGTTGCATATCTTCAAGGCTTTACTTTTGTGGTTGGGCAGGTGGCTTTGTTGATGATAATTTATTGGTTATATCCAACTTTTGTTTTTGTTAATGTATCTAGGCTTGATATATTAATATATACTAACATTTAAAATTCAGTGAAATTATTTTATTGATATGAAAATGAATATAATTACTCTTACATGAATATTGGAATATGAAAGATAAGAAAAATAAATAACATGAAATGAAAGATAAAATACCTATATCTCCAATTAATTAATTTATTCTAATTATTTGAAGATAAAAAAAAATGACATAAAATAGGAAAACCTAATGTAGGAAAGGAATAGATCCAATTTAAGGAAATAAATCCAAACTAGGAAAGAAAATAAATCAAATCCAAGGAAATCAATCTAATCCTCATAGTTTTTAATAATAATAAATTATTTCGTAATATAGCTTTTAACACTCTCCTTCAAATTGAAACATGGTTGACAACCATGGTCAACTTGGATTTGAACATATCAAACAAGGGGCGAGAAATATTCTTTGTGAGGTAGAACTTGAAGTCTTCTCTTGTACTTGGTTATCAACTCCAAGAGCATTTAGGGATATTTTTAGTTGACTGCGGTTGTCTTTTACTGTGATTTCTTCATTGTTTATAAGCAGGTGGAAGGTTCCTACAGGTAATATTGCAAGGAAGTTTATAAGAAAATAGATAACA